TGCAAAATGATGCTATATCTGTCAATGAAGTGTCTAACGATGCTATATCTGTCCATGAATAGTCTAAAGATGCTTTATCTGTCAATGAAGTGTCTAACGATGCCATATCTGTCAATGAAGTGCAAAACGACGCTATATCTGTCAATGAAGTGTCTAACGATGCTATATCTATCTATGAAGTGTCTAACGATAACATATCTGTCGATGAAGTCTCGCAACCACACATTTCCCCACGTCCCTGAACTCTATCAATATTCTAAGGGCCCACCAGCTTTTTGCACCGCAGATTCTAAGGGCCCACCAGCTTTTTGCACCGCAGATTCTAAGGGCCCACCAGCTTTTGCACCGCAGATTCTAAGGGCCCACCAGCTTTTGCACCGCAGATTCTAAGGGCCCACCAGCTTTTTGCACCGCAGATTCTAAGGGCCCACCAGCTTTTGCACCGCAGATTCTAAGGGCCCACCAGTTTTTGCACCCCAGATTCTAAGGGCCCACCAGCTTTTTGCACCGCAGATTCTAAGGGCCCACCAGCTTTTTGCACCGCAGATTCTAAGGGCCCACCAGCTTTTTGCACCGCAGATTCTAAGGGCCCACCAGCTTTTTGCACCGCAGATTCTAAGGGCCCACCAGCTTTTTGCACCGCAGATTCTAAGGGCCCACCAGCTTTTTGCACCGCAGATTCTAAGGGCCCACCAGCTTTTTGCACCGCAGATTCTAAGGGCCCACCAGCTTTTTGCACCGCAGATTCTAAGGGCCCACCAGCTTTTTGCACCGCAGATTCTAAGGGCCCACCAGCTTTTTGCACCGCAGATTCTAAGGGCCCACCAGCTTTTTGCACCGCAGATTCTAAGGGCCCACCAGCTTTTTGCACCGCAGATTCTAAGGGCCCACCAGCTTTTTGCACCGCAGATTCTAAGGGCCCACCAGCTTTTTGCACCGCAGATTCTAAGGGCCCACCAGCTTTTTGCACCGCAGATTCTAAGGGCCCACCAGCTTTTTGCACCGCAGATTCTAAGGGCCCACCAGCTTTTTGCACCGCAGATTCTAAGGGCCCACCAGCTTTTTGCACCGCAGATTCTAAGGGCCCACCAGCTTTTTGCACCGCAGATTCTAAGGGCCCACCAGCTTTTTGCACCGCAGATTCTAAGGGCCCACCAGCTTTTTGCACCACAGATTCTAAGGGCCCACCAGCTTTTTGCACCGCAGATTCTAAGGGCCCACCAGCTTTTTGCACCGCAGATTCTAAGGGCCCACCAGCTTTTGCACCGCAGATTCTAAGGGCCCACCAGCTTTTTGCACCGCAGATTTAGTTCAACATCTTTTTTTTTAGAAAAGCAAAAGGAAAATATTGCGCACCAAACGCACATGCGATATTTCTTAAAGAATCTGATTTGGCGCAGTTGTCGGGAATTTTATCTCGTTAAATCAGTGTCGTCATTGATATTTCTTTCATATTTCCTGATAAAAAACAAAAACAAAACCTGACTTTTGAGGGTGGTGTTTAGGAGGTGGGGCTGAACATTTGATAGTGTTGTCATCGGCGACGAGTTTATGTGCAAAGTTTCAGCTCGATAACTTGACAGGAAGTGGGTCACTTAGCCGTTCAAAGCCTTTGCCAGCCAGCCACAAACAAAAGTGAATTTAATAGGAATGATTTCGAAATGATAAATAGTTAGTTCTGTGGTATCATCATATGGTCTAATTCCTGCCGCAGACCAAAAGTCTGGTGTGTCACGTGCGTGTCACGTGTCCGTCACGTGTAGTCCCAACCGTCGTTTCATGTCCCTCCCTGTATCACCTGCAATTTAAAAAAATAAAACAAAAATAAATCGCTGAATTAAATACTTTAAAACTCCAGGAGCCCACAACACAGGCCGCCATAGATCCTCACTGGATGCCTCTCTGAGGGCGCATTGTTTCCCGTGGCTGTTCTCACCGGGCTGGGTACTTACCCGGGGCAGGTCTTATGCCAACCAGGCAACCTGACACTAATCTGGTCTAGTGTTGACCGCGAGAGTGTGAACATTGGCTCCACACAAGACGCTAGTTCAGCCCTCATTAGCACCACGCGGAAATGTGCGATGGCGGGGCTCCGGTAACCTGGTTGGTTTATCTGTCTGGGAATGTGCAGGCATCCATTTCTCTCTCTCTCTCTCTCTCTCTCTCTCTCGCAATCTCTCTTTCTTTCTGTTTCTTCTGCCTCACTCCCCCTTCCCTATCTCATTCCCTCTCACTCACCTATCTTTTATCTTCCTGGAAGGATAAATAATTTGAATACCCTGGTGTCAGATCAAGTACATTTGTAGTCAGTAGATTCTGATAGAGGCTACTGGTTTTCTCAGACCAAAGACATTTGCAAGCGATTGTATTGTTTTTCTTCCCGGGAAAGGCAGGCTTCATCAGTTATTTCTAAAGCTAGGGCTCACTGTTTTAAGGGCGTTCGAACGGCAGCACGGTTTCTGCTTGTTGGCAGCCCTGGTTCTGCTTGTTGGCAGCCCTGGTTCTGTTACCTCGGTGTCAAAACGGAGCCGCATTTTTTTTTTCCTTTCTAGACCATCCATCAGTTGATTAGTAGGCCTTTCGCTTTATTTTTTAAGGACTGATCATTTCCATCTAATATCCACGCATCCTTTAATCCAGGAGAGCAGCTTTTCCTCAGATATTCATGTGTCCATTAATCCACAAGAGTACATTTCTATCAGTCTACCCTCCACTTTTACATTCAGTCCGTCAAATATTTTAATTTTTGTATCATTCAATAGCACCATCGACTTGAGCACAGTTCATTCAATAGCACCATCGACTTGAGCACATTTCATTCAATAGCGACCATCGACTTGAGCACATTTCATTTAATAGCACCATCGACTTGAGCACATTTCATTTAATAGCACCATCGACTTGAGCACATTTCATTCAATAGCACCATCGACTTGAGCACATTTCATTTAATACCACCACCCACTTGTGCCCATTTTCGGCATACTTGTCACTGGTTTTTTTTAAAATTTCAAGTCACCCCCCTCCCGTCTTTTGCCCTCATAGTTTCCAAGTCATCTTCTGGTATCATAGTCTCCAGAGTTATCTTCTGTTGTCATCGTCAACAATTCGTCCCCCTCCCCTCTGTTTTCATGTAAGTCGCCTCCCTTGCACCTGCGTAATGGTTTCCATGTATGTGACAATTGTTTCAATTGTACTGAGATCTACGACAATTTCAATGTGCTCCTGTTTTTGTGTGCGCGATATGGGGGTGGTACGGTGGCGTCACAATGTGTTTGTTGAATCAACAATTTACGTTCCAGATTACGTCCCTCAGAGAATGGTACTTAAACTTGAAAATAGCGGTTCTCAAACATGAAAAAAAGTTTTTGTAAATAAAATTAATTGCCGTCTTTTTAGTAATTCTTCTTCAACACCCCCAGGCGCCTCACCGATTGTTCAACACCAACCGACGCCTCACCGAACATTTAACACCAACCGACGGCTCAACGATTATTAAACCCGACCTAAGGCCTCATTTGTTCTTCATCACCACCAACACTACTAGACATTTCCCTAATCTGGCGACATTTTAGTTAAGACAGTGTTCTTTTTATTATAGCGACTTTATTCTCGGGGATCGGGGTGCTCTCTGTGTTAGAACCGTTGGCTAAGGATCGAATAATTCAGCATTTAATCAAGGTTGTGTTTTCAACACAGACTTGACAATTGGAAGGGGGGGCGTCATGTGAATATGTGCAATTGTAACGGAGAGCGCCCCCCCTCCCACGTGGGGCTTGCGTTCTCTGCTTTACGACTGCCTTAAATAAGACTATTGTGCAACAGGCAGGCGCGGGGGGGGGGGCGAGCAAGGGTAGAAAGTAGGTTGGGTTGCCCTGGTGGTGACTATGACAACACCCCTGCCCCCTCCCCCACCCCAACGGTTCCCGTACCGACACACCGTCAATTGTGTGAATTTTTTTAAACGTCTGCTGTCCCAGAAAGTTATGTCTTTCATCTGTTCGTCAGTTGTTGGTTTTTTAATTCTCCACTTTTCCAGGTCTCCCCAGTTAATGCGATTCTATTGTGACGTCCTTACGTCCTATTTTTGTAACGCTCCAGACGTACACAGGTGTTTTCTATCTTATTTCCTGCGTCAATCACAAACTTGACTGTTGGACTTCTATCATATTGTCAGTACATCCTGAGCATTGTTAGTATCCACATTGTTGGACTTATATCCAATTATCAGTGGATCCTGAGCAGAGTTAGTATCGATACTGTTGGACTTCTATCCAATTATCAGTGGATCCTGAGCAGTGTTAGTATCCAAACTGAACTGGGCGCAAGCCATCTTCTCTATTTGTATAGTTTCAAAAATCAAAATGCAAGTATTAAATCAACTATTTCCTGATTCAGCATTCTCTAATGTTATTTCAGATGTAATTTATCTCTTTCTAACCCTAACATGTAATGTCATGCTGTGCATTGCAATCTGACTGTTCAGCCATTGCTCTACTTGAATGGATGTTTTGTCAACTAACTGTTGGTACCTGGGACGTTCACGCATTGCGGCCGACAGGTTATGGGGATGGCTGACGGGTGTTAGTTCTTTTATGTTTTATAAGAAGGAACTATGCCAAACTATGCGGAGAGCTCTACGTACCACGTTCATGGGAATGTCATTTCGCGAACTGAGTTATGCCGCTTGAACGTCACACATTGATACATTTTTTAAATCATAGACCTTTTTTAATATTTTTGTTTGTTTGCCTACAAATCATATTTTCAAATGTGTTCTTTTAAATTTTCTACTTCCTGTATATATATTTTTTTTTAAAAGGTTGTTGATGACGCTTTCATGACGGAGATGACGTCACCACGCAGTGTTGAACACAAATGAGCTGTGTTTGTGTGCTGCGCCTGAGAGAGCTCTCCCACTTGTGCACTGTACCCTTACAAACACTATGTTCAAAACTAAAACGGTCAGCATGGCGACGACGGCCACCACGCTGTCCGAGATGTTGAAGGACGACTGTGACGTCAGCACGAACCGCCGTGACGTGGACGACACCGAGTCGGTGTCCAGCGCCTCCAGCGGCGTCTCGGATCAGACCCTGTCCCCGGGTCACTCAGCCCCGGTCAGGAGCGGTCAGCGCGGGCGCGCGCTGAGCGTGAACGCCGACCACGGCAGCAAGCAAACTCCGGCCGCGAGAGAGGTGACGCCGATGGTGGAATCCCTTGGGAAGGCCACTTTTGATTCCGGTGAGGTGGGTCCGTTTACGGGCGTCAAGTCTACGTCAACGTCCACGGCGTCACCCGAGAGGGTTGCACACGTCGTGGGTGACCCAGCCGGCATCGGCACCAGTGGAGAGGATAACAGGGGTCAAGGTCAATCCGAGTCAGCCTGGTCGGCCAAAAGTAACTCGTACGATTACTTGAAATGTTCGGCGTCATCCACGGAGCCAAGTGTCGGGGGTTCGTTTCCTTCTTTTCAGCCCGGGGCCGACGCCAGGTCAAAGAGAAACTTGTCACCGGACGAGACGTCCCCGGCGGACAGAGACGAGGAGGAGAAGAGACAATTTCTCCACCGAGCTTTCCTATCAGCGGGCACGTCCCCGACCTCTGGCTCCCCCATCCGAGAGCACCCGCTCCATCCGCATGAACTTTCACCCCTGAACTTGAGACTCCACCCGCATCCCTATCTAGGCCACGACCTTTCCTCTCAGATGAGCTACTTCCGGAGAGGCTGCGAGCCCTCCAAAGACAATCCGGGCCTTCCGTTCCCGAATAACAGACACCACGCTTACAAACCCCCACGCCACTCCGAGCCGGATTACGAGAAGCTGCATAACATTCCCGGAACCAGTCCACCGAGGACCATCAGTTCATCCGAGATGCAGAAAGACCCAAACGCCGGGGGTCCGGAGAAATTAACATCGCTGAATTCTTTATCATCTTTTGTCATGCAGCACCCGCCGTACCGGTACGCCCCTGGCTACGAGAGACTTCCCGTGGACGCCGCGTCCGCCTGCAAGTCGTCGACCGCCGAGCCCATGGACAAACACCAGGCCATCGGCAAAACCCACAACGGTGAGACGGCGAATAGTCTCCAAGAACGAACTAACACCAAGCACCACACAACCCCCAGGCCGTCTTTCTTAATCTCAGACATTCTCGGGGATTCCAAAACCACAATCCAACACGAGCCCCGCAAACTGATCCCGCACCCAGAGACCCTGTACCCTGGGCTCAACTTCAGCGGTCCTCACTCCAATTTCTCCCCGGTTCGTCCCAGCCTGTTCCACCGGTCCTCGTTCACGCCGTATTCGAGCCTGAGTCACGACGCCCGTGATCCAACGGGATCGACTACCACAGACGGTATCGTCGTAGCCGGAAGTGGAGACGAGAGCTGTCCTGACGACGAGATGCACGAGGAGGATGACGATGAGGATGACCGCGAGCAGGATTCTACGAGTGAAAGTGAGTCAATTTTCGTTTAACTTATCTGTATCCTAGAAGAAGGTCGATGAGCTATTTTGATTATGGGTTTCTCTGACCAGCCGGACTAGCCGGCCTTCCCCACTTCCATCCCCTTTCTCCCCGGGAGATTCATCGGGTGTTCGAGTAAAATGGCTAACGCCCATCTTTGCTCCTTGTAACTTTTTGTAAGTGAGTGACCAAAGTAGTACTAAAGACATTCTTATTCTTTTCTTCCATTTCAAGCTTGGCAACAGGTTGGATTTGCATATATCATGTAATTTTAATTTATAATTACATGAATTTTTTTGTTTGTTTCACGGATAAAGGCGTTTTGCAGAAACGTTTCCTTTTTTATTTAGTGCAATCACATTTAAAGCTTTACATATATTGCTCTATTTACACAAATTGTTTGTGAATTTTGTGCAATCGTAATTAAAGCTTTACATGTATTGTTTTTACTTGCACAAATTGTTTGCGTCTCATTAATCTACCTAAAAGCTTTACCGTAGACCAACACTGTCAGAAGTAGTAACAAAAATTCCTCAGTTAGTGAATGTATATGTAACTGCTGGTTGCTATTAAGTGTCACTTTACATTCAAACATATTTATATGTTAAAAAGTTTCTACTCTCACACTTCACATATCGTTATCTTGATCATTATCTTTTTCGAAATTTTGGGAAGTATTTGTAAGCTTGAGTTTTATTGTAGCTTGCGTCTACTTCAAAGCTCAACATTTACGGCAGACAGTTGTCTAGTGTTCACATCATGAGATGTCAGAAATGAGACAGATATACTTATAAGGTACTAGTTATCTTGGAGTCTTTTGTGAAATATTACATTTAAAAAATGTAAAAATCGATACAAACTAAATGAATGCTTATATATATAGTTTAAATGTACACCGATCATGGCGTATCAGGGCGGTACCATTAGGCACCAAATGTATCGGTGTTTGATCATGACGCCATCATTTGGGGCCAACAATCCAGACGTTTTATTGTCTTACAAATGGCTTTGAAAATATAATTAATCCATAGACGCAAGGCCTCTCATTAGAGACCTGTGATTAGGAACCTTTTGTAGAGACCTTTGGTTAGAGACTTTTCGTTACAAATCTTTCGTTGGAGACCTTTGATTAGAGACCTTTGGTTAGAGACCTTTGGTTAGAGAGCTTTGGCTAGAGACCTTTGTTTAGAGACCATTGTTTAGAGACCTTTGTTTAGAGACCTTTTTTTTTTTACTTTTCCTTTACTATTCAACTCAACTGTTGCACAAGTCGAAACTCAGAATAAAGAATTTCAGGCAAAGCCCGTTGGCACCTTCTCTCATGTTGTTAAACTTGAAGAAATGAAAGGTTCATGAAGTCAACTGTAAAGTCAATGAAATCAACTGCAAAATCCATGAAATCAACTGTAAAGTCCATGAAGTCAATTTTAAAGTCCATGAAGTCAACTGTAAAGACAATGAAGTCCACTGTAAAGTCCATGAAGTAAACTGTAAAGTCAATGAAGTCAACTGTAAAGTCAAAGAAGTCAACTGTAAAGTCCATAAAGTCAAATGTAAAGTCAATGAAGTCAACTGTAAAGCCTATGAAGTCAACTGTAAAGTCCATGAAGTCAACTGTAAAGTCAAAGAAGTCAACTGTAAAATCCATAAAGTCAACTGTAAAGTCAATGAAATCAACTGTAAAGACAATGAAGTCAACTGTAAAGTCCATGAAGTCAACTGTAAAGTCAATGAAGTCAACTGTAAAGTCCATAAAGTCAACTGTAAAGTCAAAGAAGTCAGCTGTAGATTCCACGAAGTCCACTGTTTCAGTAGTTAAAAGTGCTTGACATGTGCACTAGAGAAATTGTGTCAAGAATCTACAAACAGAAACTACTTGAAATACCACTTGGCAATCACGAATCAAGAACAGCTGACATTACAAATCAAGCGGCTGTCTATTAAATGTCCCATGACTTATCCTTGAGCACTAATAATAAACTTACATAAATAAAATAGACTGCTTCCGGGAAATGGGTAACGGCCCTCTTTATGTTTACCTAAATAAAATGAGTAAAACAGAGTATGGTTAAACCTGAAAAATTAAACGTAACAAAACAGCGAACGTGTCGGCAGAAAGCCTTCGTCAGCGAACAAAACAACAGAAAAAACGTTATAAAAATAAGAAATAGCACTTAGCTGGTAAGTAGTATCTGTGGGCAGCAATAGAAGTGTGGCAGAAGGAAAATGAGTGAGAGTTTAAATAAGCAGCGGCGAAAAAAAGGGGGGAGAAAAAAGTTCACTGTGATAGGTCAGAACGTGGAGGGGCGGAGCTAGGGTCAAGCTGTGAACAGAGACATAACATTAATCCCATCTGGCGTCAAAGTGCCGTAAGTCAGGATAAGTCTGTGTTCCAAATTGACCCGGCTGGTGGTGTTAGTGCTAGCCACAATCGCACTTATTGAAAAGTCCGCCTTGCCCCGGTGGTCGCTACTATTGAAGTGTTTGGAGACGGGACACTGTTTATCTTGTGTAATGTTTCGGAGGTGTTCGGTACACCTGTCCGAGAGACGGCGTCCAGTCTCCCCTATGTAGGTCATCTGACAGCGGGTGCAGACAATGGCGTAGATAACGTTGCGGCTTGTACAGAGGAAACCGTCGCGTATCTGAAAACTGCCCTTGGGGAAACGTATGCGTTCAGTCTGGATGACAAAAGGGCACGTGTTGCAACGACTGCGTCCACACGGCTTGGTCCCAAAGTGGGAGGGGGGAGCATTGATACGACTGCGTACAAGCAGGTCTCTCAGATTTTTATCCCGTCTGAAAACAATGAGAGGTGGGGAAGAGAAAATTTCTCGTGTGTCGGTGTCTGCGAGTAGTATAGATCGATGTTTAAGGAAAACACGTTTAGCAATCAGATTGTGAGGGTGATAAGTTAAAATGAGTTTAGTCCTGTCAACATTGTCGCTCAGACGTGGTCTGAAGGCATCAGCGCGTGTAATATTCTTAACCCTTTGGAGGGCTGATGAAAGTACTGTCTCCGGGTAAGACCTACACCGGAAAAAGTCTATCATTTCAATTGCCTTGTCCCAAAAGTCCTCATCCGACCGACAAAGTCGACGAAGACGAAGTAACTGAGAGAAAGGAATAGAGTCCTTACAGGATTTAGGGTGGGATGAAGAGTAGAGTAGATAGCTATGGCTGTCAGTGGGCTTAAAGTAGGCAGAGGTGTGTAGGGTGTCTTTGTGAAGAGTGACTGTAATGTCTAAGAAATTGACTGAGGTCTCAGAGATAAGAGATGTGAATTTAATGGAGGGGTGAAAGGAGCCTACAAAGTTAATGAACAGGTCAAGTTCACTCCTCTCCATAGTGGTGACCCCTATACCATCATCCTCTGTACAAGCCGCAACGTTATCTACGCCATTGTCTGCACCCGCTGTCAGATGACCTACATAGGGGAGACTGGACGCCGTCTCTCGGACAGGTGTACCGAACACCTCCGAAACATTACACAAGATAAACAGTGTCCCGTCTCCAAACACTTCAATAGTAGCGACCACCGGGGCAAGGCGGACTTTTCAATAAGTGCGATTGTGGCTAGCACTA